TGTGCAATCAAAGTTATTTTAATTTCCCCGTATGCACAAATCTTCGTGTCGTAGGGTGGCATGGCGTGGCGTGGTCGCTAAACGATTTTCTCGTTGATGATACGCATTTTCCCTACGACCCCGATGCATAAGCGTTACCGTACCCTCCCCCAAGTTGGAATAAACCTATAAAGTCAATATAAATAAAAATTACATAAATACATCGCCCATTGCGTTATTTGAAAGTATATTTTGAAATATATTTTTGTTATATTTCAGTTAATAAAGCATCCCAACAATATATTACAGAACAGACGAGTACAATTAATTACTCTGATTGGTGTTACATTTTTATTTGTCAAAACATATTTTTGGTTGTTTCGCAAATTTTAGTCGATATCACTAATTTGTATTGTATCACTTTTTTATGCCTGTTGCGCTATAACGTTTTTTAATTGGACCTTTTTACTGTTTTTTATTTTGTTCCATGTCGTCACAAAGCTCAATGCCGATGATGCTCGAAAGCATAACGCAATTAATTAGAATGTTTGGAAAATTACTATCTATAACCGAAATCAGGATGTACCGAATTTACTAAAATACATATCAATTTAAACATAATTCTAGCTTACAATAAATTTTCAAGCCCGATTTTTATTTGCTGTTGTTATTTATGTTTTATGTAGTTCTTGTGCCAATAACCATTATTTATTGTGACCATGTATTTATGTATATATTGCTATTTTATTTAAATAAATTTCACTAAAATATATGATATTTTTAAACGCATATAGTATTGAAAATTCCGGTCTGTATTTTGAGTTGGTATTTTTTAATAAAGGATTTATTTTAGAATAGATTGTCATATAAAATGGAACAATTTTTTAGGCAATAAATTTTAATTTTAATCTTCATTTCTTGGTCAAAAAGTCTTGGTATTCTTGTAATATGAATAAGCAGACCAATTTTATCAATAAATGTACAGAGTGGTCGAAATTGGTCTGTTTTAACAGAGAAAACCTATTTCCTGACTAGATAGAGCAAAACATATAATGGTACTAAGGTAGTATTTACTACCTTATAAAACACTTGTTTTTAGGTTCTCTTTTTGTTAAAAAGATTTATAAATTTGATCCAAAGGAAAATAACTACTTAAATTAAATTAAAATAATAATTAAATCTTTGCAGAAATAATCTAAATAGTTATATTAATTTAAGCTGTTTCAGTACAATATCAATATTGTAGATATAATTGGAACTTTATACATTTGTAATTATCTTGACTAATTGTAAATATTTTCTAAATGTACATATCAAGTATTGTTTGTGTAGTGGACAATGTATAATACAGGGTATATACACAAGTATTTTAGAAACCAATAATGTTGTGTACGCTTCATTAAATAGTTCTTTGTATATTTAAGATGTAAGTAAGTTGTCTATTTCCAAAGAGTTATTTATGTCTAGAGAATAAGATTTCAAAACAACGCTGGTCTGCAATAAATAAATTTTTCTCGAGCCCTGGTACAATTCCTACTGACTCTTATGTAAAATGACTCAAATATAACTACCGTTTTCTTCTACCGTTCACCATTTCCGGGTAGCCTTTCGATTCAGGTGACCCATAAACGTGGGACCGCTAGAGAGAGAGAGAGAGAGAGAGAGAGAGAGAGAGAGAGGGAGAGAGAGAGAGAGAGAGTAATGAATTTTAGACCTATCAACCACCAGGGTTTTTTAGAGTCTTTTTACAATTGTGTGTGTTGAGTTTTAGTAGGTTGTAATGCTGAGTGTATTACAGAGAATTTATATTTTGTCGATTAAATTGGTATGTGTTTTATCAGTGTTTTCGTATTTTACAGATTCTCTTAAGTTGTTGGTTATGTTTAGATTTTGCCGGATGTGAGAATATTAGTTACGAGTTGTTAAGATGTGTTTGACTGTCAATGTAGTGTTGCAGTTAGTGCAATTATGAGGATTCTTCCCTTTTATGAGGGGCTCATGGGTTAACTTAGTATGTCCTATGTGAAGTCTAGTCATTATGCTCAGTTTTATTTCTGAATATATAATAGCAGACACCATATTCATTTGATACAATTTGTTCTTTATTTCATATTCTTTATTTCATTTTCATATGAGTCGACAGAGTGGGCGGAGACAGTGTTGCCAGAATTACGGATTAATCCGTAGATTTATGGATTTCGGGTACAGTACGTTAATAATACGGACCATTAAACAATTTAATATAATATTATATGATTAAACAAAGAATGGCATCAGAGTTGGATTGGAAATGAAGACCGCTATTATTTCATATGTAAAATATTATGGTAAATATCAAATTTCCAAGCCAACTTAACGACTTTTTTAGGTCATATGATATATGCTATACAGTACCTATAAAAGAATTTTTATTTTTGTTCTTTATTCTATGTTTAACACGAATAAGTTTTCAATACATAAACGCGGATTTTTCATCCAAAGATATTTTCGTCAAACGTATTACAGACATTACATATTTTAATATAGCAACACTGTCGCTTTCAGTTCCACACTGTCTTCGATATGCCTTCGCTAGCCGAATTAAAGAAAATGAGTGTTTTATGTGTTGGCCGCAGAACGAGTAGAGGCTCCACCGTACAGCACTTGAGACGTAAAGGGAACTCAAATCAACCTTATCACGAATTTTACCGTTAGGTTGCGTATTTTCCAAATTCTTTCAATCAACGGTAAAACCTGGGAAAAATTGTTTAATCTGGGGACCTACAAGAACCCTCCTCATGATTTTAATCTCACTCTTTAGGATTCAAAAATTGAAATGCGTCACCTGTCTTATCCGTTGCTTTCACAAACTGTTTGATCCTAGTGCAAAGGCGAAAAGTAAATATTTTCCTTCGGGACCAAAGGTTCGTAGTGACTATTATGTTTTTTTATTTTACCGGGAGTAAAACGCAAATTTATTAGAATTTCTATATACTTTTATGCATGTATGCATATGCTGCTTCCTATGTTATACTTATAACTTTATTACCTACTAGGGATGATATATTTAGAGATGAAAGCTTCTTCTTCTTTGTGTGCCCTGTCCTCGAAGAATGTTGGCTACCATCAATGACACTTGCATTTTATTCACGGCTCTTCTAAACAGCGTGTTGGTATTTACCCCATACCACTCCCGCAAGTTCTTCAGCCAGGACGTCCGTTTTCTTCCAGCTGAACGTCTCACTTACACTAATACTTCTACTGTCTCATAAGATGTCCAAAGTATTCCAGTTTTCTGGTCTTTATGCTTTTTATCACCACGGTACCCGTATTCAACATCTCCAACACTGATATTACTAATTCTGTTCATCCATGATATTTTTAAAATTCTCCTGTAACACGACATTTCGAAGGTTTTCTATTTTTTTCATCTCGCTCTTATTCACCGTCCAAGACTCCAATCCATAGAGCAAGGTCGAAAACACATCTTCTTTTTCTTTCTTTCTTCTTTATCAGCCTGGTTCGATCTCAAGCCAATCTTATCCATTACCTTCCCGCCACTGCCCTGACGTCATCGACCCATCCTCTTTTTTGGTCGGCCCACACTTCTTGTTGTTCCCCTAGGCTCCATAGGATGACCTTTTGTGGTCATCGGTCTGGATCCTGTCTTGCCACATGTCCTATCCATTGCCACTTCAGATTTGCCACTCTTAACAACATCTATTAATTTTGTTTTTTGACGTATGTGGGTGTTCCGTATCTTTTCCCTAATGGTGACTCCCAACATGATTCTTTTCATGACTCTTTGTGCTACTCGTAGTTGTTCTGCTGTTTTTCGGGTAATTGCCATAGTTTCTAAGCCATATGTAAGCACAGGTAGAATGCAGCTGTCGTAAGCCTTTTTCTTTAGGTTGATGGGCACCTTTTTATCCTTGAAAATATCGCTCATATTACCAAATGCTACCCATGCCAAATGGATCCTGCGTTTGATCTCCGTATTTTAGTTTTCCTTACCCAGCTTGATTTTACGACCTAAATATATATAGTGGTCTACGTTTTCAATAATAACGTTGTCTACGGTAATGTTATGGATATTGTTGTTAATTATCTTGGTCTTCTTCAAGTTCATTTTAAGGACAATTTTCTGGGATTGGTCATTTAGCTCCTTTAGCATGGTGTTCAGTTCTTGAATGTCGGTGCTCAGCAAGACAATATCGTCTGCGTACCTAAGATGGCTAAGGTGTACCCCATCGATGTTTAGACCTCTATTTTCTCATTCTAATTTCTTGATGACATTTTCCAGTGCCAGTGTAAATAACTTAGGAGAGATGATATCTCCTTGTTGCCGAGTGGGTGTTTTTTTAATGTCAATAATTAAAAAGTTTTTCCTCTTGTAAAGACAATCCCTAGACATGCTGTATATAAAAAATCGATTACGTTTATTCATTTTATTACAATTTGAGCAGAACCCCCCTCTTCATCTTTTCAGAACACTTAACATCTCTAGCATCCCAGAAATACGAATATAGAGGTCAAAAGAGAATATATAAGTCAAAATTATCCCTTTCATCCCCGCTAAACCATAGAAAATCTGTAAAAATAGGCGAAAACAGGGGATATTTAGAGGAAAATGGAAGTCTAGGATATTTGTATTCAGTAGGTCGTAACATAAGAATCAACAAGAATAGTGCCAGGGCCGATTTTCATGCAGACCCAGTGAGAATTAAAAAAATTAAATCTGTAAAATATATGTACCTATATTGTGATCTGTAAATAATCTATTTAATATCGTTAATAATAACTAAAGAAAATCAGTATTAATGTGTGACAAGTATGTACAATAAGCTTCATAATTTAATAATCATTCCGTTGTTGACGGGAGCATGTTTCATGCTGAAGTTGCATCTAACATGCACATGAGCCCCACCTTTCTACAACTAAATGATAATAACCAAACTGTTTCTATCAATAGTTTTAGAACATGTAGACCCAAGATTGTTAGAGAAAAGTATTTATTTTTTAGAACAAACTTCTCTTTGTAGTCTTCGAGTTTTAAGGGATGTCTTCCAAGAGACCAGATAGAATACTGTGAATAATTTTCTTGTCTAATAGTTAATTAGAAAATTCATCGCAACTATCAAAACAAAAGGAACGTTGGTACAAATGTTAGTTTCAAAATAATACTGGATGTCGTTGGGTCTGCAGAAATATTTTAGATGTACTACAACTCTACGCTTACTATTGTAATATTGCAAAACATCTCAATATAGATTGTATTATTTACTGGTTAATGTTACAATAAAGTGTTTCTTAATACTTATTGTTGTTTTATTTTCCTTAGCTATCCTTTCAATCAAATCATTTTATTTTGTCCCACTTTTTTGGAGATCATCAAAAAATGTATCGTTTAGTTATTCCAAAAGCTTCATTTTTCCTTTATATGAGTTTTGCGATAAAACGCAAGGTTTTCGAGTTATTTATAAAAATTGGCAAAAAAATATGCAGTTTTTAGATGAAAAATCAACATTTTCAATCTTAAATAACTAGGAAAATATTAATTTCCTGAAAAAATGTTATATAACATTATATATAACACTAAAAATTAGGTGGACATTAATGAAAAAAGTGATGTTTCAGTATAAGTTACAAATTGGGACCCAGCTACCACCCCGACCCACCCTTGGTCTCACTTCTAATCTCATCAATGCCATTTTGAAACCATTGCCATTTTGAAGCTAAAAATAAAAAATGTAGATAATAAAAAAGACAATACAAAGATGTTTTACTAATCGTTCAGCCTAATTTTGCGATAACGCAAATTCTTCCTTATCATCAATTTTTTTACTTTCAACAAATAGGAGTGCATTTTCAATACTCTTCTGACAGATGTTCGAGGTATACCTGTGATTGATGCCAACTGGCGTGTTGATGCTTCTGGATTGACCGATACCTAACCAATAACTTCCATCTTCATTTCTTCATTCAGTACCCTGGGCCCTGTCTTTTTTTTATTTTTGACCGATCCAGTTTCTTGAAACTTTATAATCAAATCTCTAACATAAACGTAACATAACCGTTTCCAAATAGCACATACCTTCAGCACCATAAAGAAAAACTATTTGAATTCTTTCTTCCACAGTATAAACCATTTTTCTTTCAAATAAGCGAATCAAATAAAGGTTTAAAATAACACCAAATTTGCAAACGATTGAAAATCGATAGAAGACAGTGCAAAAACGCAAGATTTTTTAAGAAAACGTTTTAAGATTCCTGTTTGTTGAAAGTAAAAAAATAGATGATAAGGAAGAATTTGCGTTATCGCAAAATAAGGCTGAACGATTAGTAAAACATCTTTGTGTTGCCTTTTTTATTATCTACATTTTTTATTTTTAGCTTCAAAATGGCAATGGTTTCAAAATGGCATTGATGAGGTTAGAAGTGAGGGGGTGGCACCTAGGGGTGGTTTGAAAAATACCTCATTTGACTAATTTCACTGGGTCCCAACATCACTTTTTTCATTAATGTCCACCTAATTTTTCGTGTAAGGGGTAGTTTTTCAATTTCACCCTAAAAACTTTATGATCATCGTTTAGCATTTTTAATGGGCTTTCCAAAAAGGCGCCATAAATCGGGTGTTGCAATTTAAGATTTTCAAGTGAGTAGGGGTGCCGCCTAAGGGGTAGGTCGGGGTGGTCCAAAAAATAAGTCATATATATTTCCACTTGATATTATTCAGGGTTGTTCACCACATACGACACGGAATATTGTAGCTAAACGATTAGATTTTTACAAATTGTAAGTTTTGGGTTCGTTGAAGGACTATTAGAGCTAAAATTTAAAAATATTTTTACAAGATACAGAGTGTCCCAAATAAATAAAAAATATCAAAGTTGTATTTTTTTAAATGGAACACTCTGTATATTATTACATTTTTAGTTTCTACGATTAAAATAAAGGTAAATTTGATTAAGGTTTATTTCACTTAAACCTTACCGTTTTTGAAATATTTTCAATTTTGTGAAATTGCAGTATAAATTTTAAGGCTTCATTTCTCCAAAAGTATCAAAGTTTTTAATACTAAATATTTACTGAAATTTATTTATTGATCAGTTATTGTGTTGCAATAATAAAAGTTTTACTACCTTATACAGAGTGTCTAAATATTTATTTTAAATAATTATTAGCTTTAAACGGCAATAACTTTTTAAATTTAAATAGAACACCCTGTATATTTTATGAGAATCAGGTGCACAATTTAATTGTCTATCAAATTGTATTATACCATTTTTTAGCTATCTCTTCAAGTTTCCGTAGAAAATGAATTTTATTGTAATTTAGAACTCATTTATCAATATACTCATGGAATACTGACATTTTAGATTATTTTTAAAGATGTACTAAATTTTAAAAGAGTACATATACTAATATTGTTGATATAGTTTGTTTATTTCATTAAAAAATAAAAAACAACTGTTTAAATATTTGTTAAAGAGGATCAATTAATATGATTCCATTATTCAAACTACATTAATTGACTGTTTGCGTTGATTAATAATAATTGCTCCAAATACTAAAAAACTGAATTATGTATGTGTATTAGACAGTGTGGTAAAAAAACTAACACCTTAAAAATGATATTTCATTTTTTGACAAATGCTTATTTATAACAACAGAGACGTTCATTTTCATAACTTATTATTATATTGATTTCTGATTCAAATCTACATTTATTTGGAATAATTTATTAACGAACACAATTAAGTATGTAATTAATTAGTATTTGGGCGGAAATACTGGTAGTATATTTAATTAATGGTATACTCTTTTATAAAGATTTAAATAGTTTTCTTTTTGCATACATATGGGCTACATTTGTACATTTAGCATGTACATTTTGTACATTTGTTGTTTTATAAACAATGTAAAATGTCAATATTCCATGGGTATATTGATGTATATTGAGAAAATGCATTTTCTACGAAAACTTGAAGGGATAGGTAAAAAGTGGTATAATACAATTTGATAGACAATTAAATTGTGCATCTGATTCTCATAAAATATACAGGGTGTTCAATTTAAATTAAACAAGTTATTGCCGTTTAAAGCTAGTAATTATTTAAAATAAATTTTTAGACACTCTCTATAAGGTAGTATAATTTTTATTATTGCAACAGAATAACTGATCAATAAATAAACTTCAGTAAATATTTAGTATTAAAACCTTTGATACCCTCGGAGAAATGAAGCCTTAAAATTTATACTGCAATTTCACAAAATTGAAAATATTTCAAAAACGGTAAGGTTTAAGTGTAATAAACCTTAATCAAATTTACCTTTATTTTAATCGTAGACACTAAAAATGCAATAATATACAGGGTGTTCCATTTAAAAAAATACAACTTTGATATTTTTTATTTATTTGGGACACTCTGTATCTTGTAAAAATATTTTTAAATTGTAGCTCTAATAGTCCTTTAACGAACCCAAAACCTACAATTTGTAAAAATCTAATCGTTTAGCTACAATATTCCGTGTCGTATGTGGTGAACAACGCTGTAGAAGGTATTTTTTATTTTTTTGATATCTTTTTTGGTTTAAGAATTATAGCCATTGTAAGTTTTCAATAGCCCACCCTGTATATAAAGTGTAATTGACACCGCTAATTTATTCCACTAATTGCGAGGTTCTGAATGAAGCTTTAGATTTTACAAAACTCAAGTTTTTCTTAAATAGTATATTATAAGTATTTCACATATCTATTTTTAATAATCTTATTTAATCTGAACTTTCAATTTTATTAAATTTAATTTTCAAGTTGAACACCATGCATTTAGAAACATATATTTAAAAAATATTTCAATACATAATTATTTTTAAAAAGAAGAAATTCGGTCTAAAACATTATTTTCAGAAAAAAAAAACACTTCAGAACTTTTCTTGCTATTAGCTGAACTTATGCACCTGCATATTAAATTCTTCAGCACTAAAGTAACTCTACTTTCTAAAATTTAATAAAAAGATTAAAATGAAAAATATGCTAGAACTCTTCTGTCCAGTTTTTTGCTCTCCAGGATTTTTAAGAAAAATTTACAGATGTGAATTTAATTCTAAAATTGGTACTTCAAAGTCAACAAAAGCTGGTGTTAAATAAAAATTCCGTTATGTTTGTAAACATTGCGTTTAATATATCGCTTTTTTTACCCTTAACTTTTATAGTTTACTGTTTCCTGATAAAATTTCTTGAACTAATTCACAGGCGTATAACGAAGTTCCTGGGGCTGTGGTAACACCATATCCCCCATGCCCGTAGTTATGAACAATCTTGATCTTTTTACTATCTGTATTCAGTATTTCTTTTTCAACCTAAAAAAAAAGATTTACTATGATTATAGAACAAAATGTGACGGACATTGATGTATACCGGGTACATTTCGAAAGTGGTTCACTCCATAACTTTTTTATTTTTTCAGATAAAAAACGAGATTTGGTATGTTAATTTAGTATATGACATAAATTAGGTTTGATTGACTTATTCAATTGTCTTTTGTCACTACCTGTCTCACCGGAAATGACTACTTGTGATTTTTAAACGGCACCCTCGGTATATTTCTACTATATTCGATAAAAAATGAAACTCTGAATAGAATGACATATCATATGTAAACTTTTGACATTTTCTCAAAGACATTTTCTCAATTTTGACAAGGCTCAAACCAAAGCAATCAAAAATCATTCGTGCAACTTCGCGTCAAAGAAATAAGCATTTTTTACCGGCAGCGGCTAGATGCTTGAAATTCCAGCCGGTAAACACAACATTAACAAAAAAATTAACTTATTAATTTAATCAGCCCCCCCCCCTTTATTTGTAAACTTTAATACATCAAATATTTTCAATCTAATAAATCATTTAATGATGTAAATAAGAGGAAATTTCTCACACGGGTGGTCAAATTTTATAGTTTTCATTATGTTTGACTACATCATTAAAAAGGGTCTTCAAATACATCAATGTGATATTTGTCTAAAATTTGCAAAAGAATCCGAATCTCTGGATAACTCGAAATTATTTACCCATTTAAAAGCCTTTGATCATGAAAGTGGAAAAATTTTTTCATTTTATTTACAGGCTGGAAAAATTATTTATTTTAAATTTTGATGAGTTTTGCACTGAAGAAAACATTCAGAGGCTGTTTGATATAATGAAAACTATAGAATTTGACCACCCATGTGAGAAATTTCCTCTTATTTACATCATTAAATTATTTATTAGATTGAAAATATTTTATGCATTAAAGTTTACAAAAAATAAAGATTTATATAGTCGAAAAAAGTCCGATAGAACCAATAGAAAGGTACTATTTTGTCACATCTTTAATTAAATTTTGTTAAATAAATTAATTTTTTATACTATAAATATCTTTTTTTTTCCTAATCTCCTACGAGCTGATATAATATGACGAGCAATCTATTAAATTACTGTGAGATTATACAGAAAAGTCCACAGACTTCGAGACATAGGAAAATCAAGTCCATTTAGCGTGTGTCCAAATTTTGACAAGTTTTCAAAAATGACAGTTTTGTTTAGACTGACGTTTAATTTCACCTGACTTCTCGGTGAATGATTTCTTTTTATGGGGGTACATAAAATCTAAAATTTACGGCCATGAAGAAATTCAAAACTTGGAGCAGTTAAGGCAGAAAATATTTAATGCCTTTGACACTGTCACCCCTGATATGTTATCCAATGTGAGGAGGGGATTTTATGATCGTTTGGGTTATTGTTTAATGCAAGAGGGAGGCACTTTTGAACAATTTTTGTAATTTTTTAAATTTCATTATCCTGTTTTTTTACCGTTTACCCATTACCTACCTTGACGAACATGGGAAAACGAAGGTCCTTTTCAGGACCACAAATATTTTGATTGAGAAAATTGGTAACTTTTTTTTGGATTAAAAAACAAAAGTTGTTAATATATACCAATTTAAAAGTGTTTTGGTAGTTTTAATACACACTATGATATAAAATTTATTATTATTATAATGTACATTATTAATACTATTGTTCATTCGAAATGGCATTAAGGCCCAATTGCAACAATGATTTAAATTTTTCTTAAAGATAAGTAGAGCTTAGAATGGGCTGTATTTATATTTACTTTAATATTCACCTTAAATGAGGGAATTTGACTGATACAATTTTTGAATTTGAATTGTTTTTAATGATATTAACAATTTTAGTTCAATTTTTAATAAAATTTATTTAATATTAATAGAAATCCAAGGGATTTGAAACCTCTTTTAGCGATTTATAACATTCTCAAATGAATTACAGGTGCCCTTATTTTGAATGAAAATCACACAGCTTTTTTCATAGTCGCTGCAGTTGCTATAGCTATAAAAAACTAATTTTTTAAGGTGTGAAAATTGCGACACACGCTAAATAGACTTGATTTTTCGTATGTCTCGAAGTCTGTGGACCTTTTTGTATGCCTCGATAACATATTGGTGCAGATTATTTTCACCCAAACAAATAATAACCCAAACTATACATTGATGCGGATTGTATATGAACTCTTTCTGAAGGTCACAGAAACCTGAACGCGTAATTCGGTGTTCTTTCGCATCTGTTATAGGTAATTTGTGACGTAGGTTTCTTTCCGTGAAACCCGACAGCGGTCGGTGGCAATGCTATGAAAGAAGCCGGCATCTTTGATTTTTTGCGAAGTTATATAAAGATAAGGACACATTATTTTTTTTTTATTGAGGTGCTAGTATTTACACAGAAAATACATTATGAAGAGCGCTGTTGCCATATATTGGTATTAGTTGATATTAGCAAAGAATATTATTGTTTGGCTTTAGTTAGTTAGGGATAGTATGTCTATATATTTTGTATTTTTTTTATGAATATTCTGTTGTTACACTGCAATAATACTTGTTATTTTGGATGTAGGAAAATTATCTTTAATGTTTTTAAGCAAAGACTGGTTTAATAAAAATAATAATAACAGTAATAATTTGTTATATCTATTAACAACAAAATTTAAAATAATTTATTATAAACATTTTTTTTACGTAGTAGCAAAATATAAACAACAAATTAGATGTCAAAATTATTTATATTAGATCCTATTTAAAAATAATATAGTCTTTAAATTTTTTGGCAACGTTGGTTTATTAAATAATAATAATTGCAGAAATAATTTGTTATATTAACAACAAACTTTAAAATCATGAAATATAAATATTTATTAATGTTCTAAGCATGCAGTGTAATGGAAGGAAAATATAAATAAAAAATTAGAAATCAAAATTATTTATATTAGGTACTTTATATTACTATTTAAAAATAATATTTACTTTTACTGGCATTTACTTTAAAAAATAAATGAAATATTTCTTCGCAAAAAAACTACATGTAAGAGAATTAGCATAAACAAAATACAAATATCGTTAACTTTTTTTTAAATTGGCACGTGTATAACTTTCAATTTAATTTTCTCATCCAATAGTTTGAGTTCGATAACCACATTTACTTAACCACATTACTTAAATATGATTATTAAGTTCAACTAATTCATATTATTAAAACATCTAAAATACAAATATGTATTTTTAAAATCAATTCTAATATGTATTCTTTCCCATTAAAAAATAGACCGTATACCATATAAAATAAAATAATTGAAAAATCGGGCTATGGAAAATCACACAAATTTTCGGAAAATTTTTGACCACCTGCACACGCCCACAATCGACAATTAAAAAAACTACTATTTTAGTATTTTAAATATTTTAATAAACGCAAAAATATATTTATAAGGCGAAGTTATAAATGTATTTATAAGGCGAAGTTATAAAAATTTGGAAGAACTAATAATGCACTGACGCACACAAAAATCAAACGAATACTAAATTTTATTTATCAAAAGCATTCGATAGTCGTGGTTCAACGATAATCATTTAGTCGCACGGCGAGATTGTCACATATGCTTTAGTATACAAATGAATGAATGATTTTATTCGAATAAAACCATTCGATAGTTGAAATCATTCATTCAGTAACCATTCGATAGTCTAATTCATTCGATAGTTCCCATCGCTAGTAGAAACAGTCACTACTATTGAAAAATCCAGTGGCGGTGTTATTGTATTGTGTTTTATATCTTTAACTTGATTTGTGGTTATTGTAATTAGTACACGCGTTTTAACAAATATTACTATATTTGGCAAATGACTAAACAAAATGTAGGTACATTTAAAGTAAAATAATATTATAAACTTTACTGGAAAATATTATAAAAATTCCTGATATATTTTTATGAAACACCGCACGCTCGTGGATATTTTATGGATGAAATCGGTCACGATTTTAGAAAATTGCGATCCCCTTACCGTTGCCCCGTTGTTTCAGATCCATTTGTCAGACTGTACCTTGTACGTATGATACTGAAATATTCGGATTTATTTAAAAAATTATATTAATAAAATTCAATTTTTATTTTTGACACGACAAAGAATTGCAATTTTATAAAATAAAAATTATGCGCCTTTCGGATTTTTAAACATTTTAGAGGTTACTAGATATTTCGTAATAAACATGCAGCTGCTATATTAAAAATATTTTGTGGTTTGTTGCTGCATAATCGAGTAATTTCCAAGTATCGAATGGACGAAGGAACGAAGCAAAGGGAAAGAAGAAACGAAATGAAGTGACGAAGTGAAGTAACGCTGCAAAGGGATGAACAAACTTTAAAATCATATACATAGGAGCGAAGTGTGAGTATGGGGCTTTAATGTTAAACGCTGGTTTCATACCTTTGTCCGTCACTTTTATAACTTAATCGAAATAGAGAACTTACCCTAACAATGCCTCTATGTGGTCTTAAGCCAACTTTGTGAGATATTACTTCGGCACCTTTTAAACTTGGAACTAGGGCTTCGCACTGATCCTTAATCTTTAAGCTGTCGTATTTATTTACACTTAAATCCCAAGATTCGTACTGTCTACAACCTCCAAGTGTTACTAAATCTATTCCTGGAAGTACGTAGGTATCGAGATCTCCATAGAAGAATGTCTTAATCCAGGGTGCTTTAACCTAAATATATTTATTATAAAGTATTAGCAAAATTTAAAGAATATAAATATATCAGTTGACCCACTCTTCGCCCGTATCAAAATTCCTTCCGCCGCTCCCCGCCTGTCTTGTAGACTTGGGTCAGTCTACATCCGTTGCTCGACGTGTACACAGCATTCCAAGTTTATTTTAGTTTTGATCGGTCCGACGCATAGGGTGAACCAAAAATAGTGTTTTAGTTGTTTTGTTCGAATTGTGAATAAAATGTCTACTAGAAATATTTGTGCAGTGGATGGTTGTGAAAGTAGAATGACAGACAATATATCGTTCTTTAGGTGCCCAAAAGATGAAGGAAGGTATGTGTTTATATAGTATAGGATATTAAGTATATAATAATTAAAGTATTAGACATATTAAGTATATTATAATTATGGAAACCTAACTATAAATAAATTGTTTTAAAAATATACATATAAATTAAGAAAAGATTTTACCCGAAATATGCACAAAATATTTACTTTTAACAATGAGTTTATTATTTTAGTAGATATTTTAGAGTATCTAGTAGTAGATACTTTATTATCTTTTGGATTTAGCAGTATTTACCGGTTTGCAAAGTGCATATTAAATAATTTTTTTAAGATATTTGCATTTTTTTAAATAGCATATTTTACTTTTTAGATGTGTGTATTTAACTTTAACTCCCTACCTTGAAAGTCCAAATTTTATCGTCAGGTAATAAAAATACGCGCATACAACTTGTTCTGCTATTGACAAGTTTTTTAGAGTTTTTACTAAATTTTATGTAACAGTAAATATAACAATTGACGAGCACATGGGAAAAACGATGAGTATCCAGAAATGGGGATAAATGTTCAGGAAACTGTTTTTTTTTTAATTCAAATTACGCATGGACTTTTATATCCGAGTTAGGTACCAAAAGGTGTAGCCCCCCATTTATATTTCTTAAGTTATAGGATGTTTTGCTTTTTAGCTGTTTGCATTTAACTTGTATTATCTACCTTTTTATAAAAAAGGTAATAAAAAGTACTTGGATACAACTTGTCTTGACACTGTCAATTTTTTTTCAGTTTTTACTAAATTTTATCGAACAGTAAAATTTATTACACAATTAACTACTAACAGTCATAATTACTGTTCATGATAATCATAAAATTTAGAAAAAATTCCAAAAAATTGACAATGGCAACACAAGTTGTATGCAAAGGTACTTTTATTACCTTACGATAAAATAGCACTTCCGCTGCACCCGGTAAACATACAAATTTTTTGTCACCTCGAAGGGTCACGGGCCGCCTTTGAAGTCAAAATAACAATAAAATTCCCTAGAGTGAGCCAACTGGTATATATTCTTTAAACTGTAGTATGAGTGGTCAGCGAGACAACGTGTGGTCTTGGTCTTGGTCTTACACGAAAATAAGTTTCCCATACAAGTTCAAAAGAGATAAATATTTGACGTGAAGGCGCGGGTTTCAAAAAATATAAATTTTATTTTCATGTCACATGAAATAAATTATCGATTTTTATTCAGCCAGCAATAGACTCGGCCTCTAATATATAAAAATAATTGTTTTTTATACTAAAAATAAAAACAAAGCTTTTTTAGCTAATTTTTGGTTATGTTACTTTTATTCTCTTATCTATAGTTACTTTTCATTTTTTTAGGATTATGCGTCATTAGCGCCAGTTGGTGAACCCTTATTCTTCCCATTTTTGTGACAACTTTTTCAAATAGTCCCACTCCATAAGTCTCATAAGAGATATTTCTCCTCATCTCTACACTCAATAGTTTATTTATGTTAAGTTTGTCTAACGAGAAAATTCCTGACAGCGAGAGTTGTTTTCTGTCAATTTCTATTTTCTGTCGTTGACTGGACAGACTTTAAAGGGAAAATTAAAATCATCATCAACACATTTAAACTATATCTAATAACAATAAAAATAAATAGCAAACCAGGACATGAGATTTTGCTGCAGGTGTTTTGTTCGACCGTCTTCTGTAATGGACAGACGGGGCAGTTTTTGAACATTTCTCGCGGAATTCATTAACTCAGTGGGGGTGAAAGATACCCTCTCATAACTGCTAGGTATTTATAATTCTTGTCTAGATTATACGGAAGAATAAGAAACCTTTATTCTTCCGCAAATATATCCATAGGATTAGATCCATGGGCACTAAGTCAGGCGGCCTCGACGACCAACGGCTGGGATCTTGGTTAGCTATTATTCAATTAACCTTGAAATTGTCTGCATAAATTTGCTGATAACTTCAGCGTTCAGAGGCGGTGCGTCGTCTTGCTGGAAAAATATGTTTTCGAGTTCCATTAAGGGCATATCATCAATAAAGGATCCAAAACCTACTAGTTAAAAGTGGCGAACTTTAAAAAATTCCGTATTTCCAAGGGGATTATAACAAAATATCAAGTGTGCTATCTTTTTGGAAACGTAATTTTAAATACTTTTCAGCTAATTAAAAATATAGAGGGTGTCCCAAATAAAAAATCAATTTTCCTGTTGATAACTCTTAAATTATTAATTTTAAAAAAATTATACTTGAACCATTAAATTCTACGTAAAAATGTGCTTTGGGAATGTTTTCATAGAAATACAACATTTTTTGTAGCAAAAAAGTTACAGCGATTTGTTAAAAATGCACATTTTTTAAAAACACCCCGAAACGGTAACAGATATTGATGTGCGGTTTTCACAGATATTGATGTGCTTTTTTCACCATCATGTTTTTGATGAAAATTGAGCTCCAGACACCCATATTAGTTTTCGTCTATCTCTTATAGAAAAGGGTGTTTCCATTTAAAAGCGTCGAATTTGACCCACCCTGTACATGCGTACATGCCTTTTGTATAAAAAATATTCCAGAAATAACCCACATGTACGTCCATGGTAGATATGCCGACACATTTTTCGCATTAAAATATGTCGCACTTATAACTTTTAACTTTCTCAAAATTTCATTCTAATCTCTAAAAATACTTGAAAAAAAATATTATGATAAATTTAAAAAAAATTAACCCTACCTACTAGCTACAAAATAAAGCAAAATCGGACCTATGTAATGATATGATATGTATATGATGTAATGAAAAAATAAATCTTATTTTTAAGTGGGGAATCTCCCCACTAGAGATGGCACATGTTTTTGAAACACTCTGTATATCTTTATACCTCTATACCTTTATCACTTGTCCTCTAATTGGAACGACTTGATAATCGTTACAAAGGAATCTTGATCCTAAACCTGTACAGTTCACCACCACGTCATAACTGCCAACTTCTTGTAAAGACTCAATTTTTTTCTGTATAATTTTACCATTATTACTTTTAAACTTGTTTATAGCCCATGGTATATAGTAAGAGGATTGTGTTAAAACCGTAGTAAAGAAGGATCCATACTTCCAGTTACCAGGACACAGTTTCAACTCTTTTTCGGTAGCAGCACGGTACACAGGACATAATTTTTCGATATACCGATTCTGTAAAAATAAAAAATTAAAAAAATGTGTTTTTTAATTTAAAATTGCCTTAAACTAATGAAATTTACCCTAACGGCTTGGGAATGCTGGCTGGAAAATATGTATCCAGATAATTCGGTAACACCTGCTCTGGCTCCTTCGGGACTTCTTCTAATTTCATCCCAGTAAGTGTATGAGTCGTTTATCCATTTTCTTAAATTAAATGATAAGTACAGTATGAAATATACGGCTAATATCAAGAAAAATGAAACCACTTATTAGAATTACTAAAACGTGGAGTTATGGTCATAACTTAGTTGATGGTATCATTACATCGCAGATCTAATCTGTTAATGACAGGCTTGAAAAGTAAACATGTTATTTTTATACCCTGAAAAAATTAATTAGCCTTGTAATGTGTGTCAATCTGTAGTGTAACAACCACTGTAATGTTGGCCAATTGTATAACAAACAATTTAAATGAAAGAAAGGAACCTACGTTGTGTTAAATATTTTTTATTGTAATTACCTTTACTGCGACGTTGTTTACGGGCCTTGCTTAGACAGGGTCGATAGAACTAGAGTTGAGATGGTTCAGAGGAGCTGCTTAAGATTTATCTATGATGTCAGGAAATATTGTCGCGACCCAGTTTTAGAGGGTTGCGGCTAGGGACGTTTTAGGTATCGAAGATCATTAAAACAATCAATATATATAAAAACAAAATATAAATTTATTAAAGAATTAAATACATTAATTTAGGTAGGAGAAATGTCAAGCAGAATACCTTTTGACCAATAAAATATACTTAGAGAAAATATATAAAAAATATAAACTTACTTTACTGTCATTATGATACTTGGAGAACTCAACTCAACTGAACAGCATGACTTCTTCATTCGTTCTCCCCGAGAGCCCCCGACTCTTCTCTGATTTACTTTTTAATTATTCTCCCATATTGATATTTACAACAATAAGAATTAAACAAAGTTCACCTTCAGATCTTAGGATGACGTCAACTTGTTCTAGTTTAATTTTCATTGTGCAAATATTACGTTTATAGAAATATACTTTATTTAATATACTGGGTGATTTATTTTAATGATAAATACTTAAATTCTTGCTCTTGACATTTCCCCCGGTCCTGAAAAAGCTGGTCCCCAGCGTTAAATATAAAGAAAATAATGAGATTAAAATAAATTACGTTTAAATATAATAATAATTAAATTGCAATAACAAATAAAAATAGTGTAATATTTTTACACGAAATAAATAATAAAATTGAATACTCATAACATAGATAATATGTAATATAGGCAATGCAATATAGTTATAATAATAATGAAAACAAGATTTAGTGGAACTGTAACTTAAAATATTAATTCAATTAATTTTCTTGTACTCTTTAACCCTTTACATTAATAAAAAGAATCTTGATACCACTTGTACTCTTGGGAGCAAATCTTCTGATAGAGCATCCAATGAACTTTTTTGGGGGTGCCTCTATCTATCAGCTAAGCAATGAACACCAGCTTCTACCCTTGCCTATAATCCATGTTTTCGTATTTGCCTGGGTTTTTCTGTTGTTTTTCATTTCCATTTCGCATTAATGTGTTAATATCATATGCGTTGAAGGTCAATGGCGCTAGAACGACGACTTTTAAACTTGCAGAATCAGCATACTGTCCATTTGTTTCTTGTTTACTATGACGTTTCTTTGTTTATCATTCATTTAATTCTGACAATAAACGTTCTATCCAATATTTTACTTATGGAGTTTTTTAATTTCTGATCATTTCTGACATCATGTGGATGCTGGATTGTAGTCGGGAGTTAACGTACATGTCTTTCTACTGTCTATAAGTGTATCCTGGTTACTTATATAGGGATTTAAACAAATTTCAAATAGTGCTCAATTTCCATATCATTCTATACTATTCCATTCCATAGTAATACGTGGCAAAAAGAGCAGGCGGCGTGTTTAACATTACCTTCGGTGGATAGAGCAAACGTCTGTCGCTGGAATGAACGGCTTCATCATGTTCTCTGTCTTGGTGTGGTATCGGTAGATATACAATTTTTGATAAATTATGATGAGGAGTTAAAGAGTAAAGCATTTTTTAAGCTTAAGCTTTCCATAAAAAATAAAATGTAAAATATTTGAATTAGTTTAGCCTAAATCGTTAATCTAAGAACGTTATAAATTTTATGATATCAAATGTTTTGTGCTTCTTAGCTTTTTTTTTTAACGTAAGAAATATAAGAACATCAAATTTTTTATGTATTTGTTTTATTTGTAATGAAACGTTTTTATAATTAGCTGTTATAAGATATATTGACTAATCTAAAATAAAAATTAAATCCATTATAATCAAAAATAATATTTCTAAAATTGAGAAAGTTTAATACCTTAAATTTTAAAGATAAAGTGTAATTCATAACACATAAACATAAAATAAATAATCTATTAATTAAAGATCTTTTTAATTAAAGCGGTTTTTTTTTTCAAAATTTAGCTATATTTTTAATTTAGTTAGCTTCAGCAATTAGGAATATGTAAATAAATAAATTAAGGTTTATAAAAGAATTTATAATAAATTGTTTTTAAAGACTTGTCTTGGGATTTTTGTTCTATCCGCTACAATACATGTCTGCTATCTCCTTCCTAATGGTGAAAAATTCTTTACGAAAAGGCTCATGGCTTTTAATTGCACTTGCAATTTATTGTAAACATTCGGGCATTGAAACACCGTACTACCTTTATACATATTATATAATATTAAATAAAAATATTTTTAACAGGCTCGGGAAAATAATAGCTATATAAGCTAAACTAGTACCTTGAAAACAATCACGTTGATTAAATAAAATATTGGGCACACTGGGCCAAGAACAATTACGTGACGTTGATACTAGTAAAATAAACATAAAAAAATCATCAGAAAAATCATCCGAGCTAAAATCTGGACCAACGAACGGGTCTAACTAGACAGATAAAATTAAACCTCACAAAAAAGTCACATTTTGACATGTTGAAATGTGCTTTAAGGTGTCATTTTATCGTAACTTGCCACTCAATCTTTCACCAGGAGATAATTGTAGTTGGGTCTAAAATACTATACCTCTGAACTTACTTTCCATAAGAATTATTGTTATTTTTTATTATTATTCAAAAGTACTTTTTGTAATTCCTCAATTTTCCATTGTTTATCAATAAATCCGTGTGTTAGAAAATGTCATCTTGATCAACCTAAAAAATGCTAACAAGAATATTATATTAGTATTAGTTATTTGCGGATTATTAGTCTTTATTTTTATTAAAAATATATAGTTTCAACTTATGTTAAAATTACTACTACTAAAGTTTCGTCCTAAATTCTACCTAATCACTTTTCTTTTTCAAGTGCCTTGAATTCTCGCAATTTTCATATTTCCTTAATACAAAATTTGACCCAATTGATGAACCCAAGGAGGGTGACTAGGATGGATAATAATATCTTCTGGTTCCTTGGCATTAGGCTGCCTGGATATCATATCCTTTAGTCTATCATGTCTTTTTCTGTCTGCGTATTTTGTCCGAGGTATTTTATAATTTATATCAACCGTAGGCTCAAATTTACTTACGGTTCTATTAAAAGGGCGTTTCGTGTACACATTTTGTAATCGGTTTTTCATCTGGAGACCACGAAATCGTCTTTTTCTTCCTACTCGAGGCTCGTTCCTACTGGCTAGCGCCAAATCCAAGTGTTAATATTTTATTTTTGAGAGGGTATTCTGATCATCCCCAATATGTGTACTCTCTATTTGGCTAGTGAGGACACTCCGGTCATTATCTATCTGGGAATGTGCTTCAACAATAGTAAAAACATTTTCATCATATCTAATTTCTTTCGGGGGAGGTTCCAATTCATTTTCCACGTGTACGGTGGCATAATTGTCCATATTTGAAATACAGTCCTCTTCTGACATAGTTAACACATTTTCGACATGATCAACATGAGTTTCATATGGGAGAGCGTCCTGTTGACCATATTTTATTGTATGATTGTGCTTGATTTTGCTATTATTATTCTCTTCGTTATTGTTTGGTGATTTTGTTGATTTAGTATACTTTAAATGACCTGTATGATTTTTATATGAGCCATAACTATTATTAGTTTTTCTAAAACTTGTTCTGCCTTTTGAGTTCTCAATTTTTTTATTAAAATTGCCATTATATGAATCATTAACTGACCACCTATTCCTGAAATCTGAATTGATTCGCTTTGGTTGTTTTTCATTACGGATATAATTATGACAATAATAATCATTCCGGGAAAATGCTGACATTTGAGACTCTAAAAATATATCTTTTAAATCATTTAATTTGTGAACTATGTTTTTTAAACTTTCAAAATTCATATTTTCTGTAACTAAAAGATAATAATATTTATTATATGATTCATGTAGACCGTTTTCAAATTGTTCTCTAAAAAAATCAAAATTTACTTCACTATCAATTTCGTATGCAATCGACAATAAATCATAATAGTAATATTTTATATCTTCATTTTCACCTTGTATACGGGTACGAAATTTAGATTTTAGTTTACGAAATGGATTTTCACCACCAAACTGCTTAATAAAATCGGTTTTTAAATCCTGCCAATTTTTATTAAAATTATCCTTGTTGTTAACATATTTCTTAAACCAAACTAATGCAGCATTTTCCAGGTAACAATTTAAATATTTTATTTTAAAAGCGTGGCTCCAACCATTCTTATCGGTTATTCTGTCATATTTTTGAATGAAAGACACCGGACAATCGAATCTAGGGTCAAAATTAGGTGGCTGTATAAACTCAGGCAGAACAGGTGTTTTATTAAAAAACATCATGAATATAGGTTTGCTAATTTTTAATTTATATTAAAATTCAATATAGAATTTTTAAGTAGAGTATAAATAATTATCGCCCACTACATATAACATGAAATAGAATACAAATTATTTTTCAAATCCAAACAAAAAGGAATTTTGTCTATGTAAGCACTCTTTAGATATTTTTATAACACAATTGCAGTAAATAAAATAGTAACTAAAACTTATATTTGAATATAGAAAACAATTACCTATATGTATTTGCGCGTATAGTATTTCAGAAAAAAAAGTCATTGAAATTATAATAATTATTCCAATAAACTAAAATAAATAAAAATGTTTGAATTAATATATTTTTCATTTTACTGTTAAAAATAGAAAGATACGTTTTTGATTTTAATATAATAATTGTTCATGATAATTGTTTATAGCAGTAAATATTTTGCAATATATTTAAAATATTTTAGGTTTTGTGTTGGAAATTTATTACGACTCGCGAAAAAAAATAGTTATTTTAGCAATTACATAAAAAATATAACCATCGTTTTGGTAAAAAAAATACACGAAGAAAAGTTATGTATGAATGAATATTAAAAGGAATATTTCGTTCAACGATTAAAAATATCGAATAGTAGTTATTAGAGGTTGAAAAAAATAGAAATAATTGTAATAGGATATATTGCTTAAGTCGAAAAATTTGTAAATAAATTAAAATATATGTAAATAAGTGTATAAATCATCATCAAAGTAAGCGTTCAATTTACTGGTCAAAAGATAATATAAAAATTTAAAAAATACATTGATTGTTGCTAAAAAAATTAAAGACTTTATTAATTTAACATTTTCATAAAAAAATAAACGCGTCTCGTAGGTACGCGAAATTGTTAAAAAAAAACACGGCGCCTCCACCACATGTCGCGACCCAGTTTTAGAGGGTTGCGGCTAGGGACGTTTTAGGTATCGAAGATCATTAAAACAATCAATATATATAAAAACAAAATATAAATTTATTAAAGAATTAAATACATTAATTTAGGTAGGAGAAATGTCAAGCAGAATACCTTTTGACCAATAAAATATACTTAGAGAAAATATATAAAAAATATAAACTTACTTTACTGTCATTATGATACTTGGAGAACTCAACTCAACTGAACAGCATGACTTCTTCATTCGTTCTCCCCGAGAGCCCCCGACTCTTCTCTGATTTACTTTTTAATTATTCTCCCATATTGATATTTACAACAATAAGAATTAAACAAAGTTCACCTTCAGATCTTAGGATGACGTCAACTTGTTCTAGTTTAATTTTCATTGTGCAAATATTACGTTTATAGAAATATACTTTATTTAATATACTGGGTGATTTATTTTAATGATAAATACTTAAATTCTTGCTCTTGACAATATGAATCCGTTTCGTATAGGCTTGGAGATGCCGGGTGGTTGAATATGGTTAAGAGACGGGAGCTACACTCGATGGTTTTGTTTCATATGATCATATTAAGTGGATCCCCTCCCTATCTAACCAATAAGATAGTGTTTAGAGAGGATGTTCATACGTTGAATTTAAGATTTAGGGGACTTATCTCTCCGCCACTATACAAGACGGCTTTGTTTACGCGATGTTTCTCTTACCAGGTTTTTAAACTTTATAACGGTTTTCCACCTTGTCTGAAAGTCTTACAAAAACATAGCTTTAAAAGTAAACTTAAAAATATGCTAATGACTCTTCCCTCTTAGAACATAATATACCTACTGAATTATATGTATTGAGTTTCTTTTTCACATTTTGTTCCCGTTTACTTACTACTAAGGGCTGAATTGTTTTCTATGGGCTTGGGTTGTATTATTATGTATTATGTATTTTTTTTAACAATTTTAAAAAAATGTCAATGTTTAAAAGTGTTTAAATATTTTATTGGGTCTGAACTAGATCAATTTTTATTGCTTTCAGCTTCCTTTTTGCAATTAAGATTAAAATGGTATTATATACTTTTTTGTATTATCCTTATTTTTATTTATTTTATTTATTTTTGTCATATTGTTGAATTGCAAATAAAGTTATTATTATTATTATTTTTTTTTTTTCACAGCACTTTTGCTGGGTACGGCCAATGTTCGCGGGGTCTTTATAGACCAACGCGACCATCTGTTGCCAGTATACGTCTCACGGTGTGACAGGTTGCCAGAATGACAGCTTTTTGTGAGATTGCTACAATTTGCTTCGGGTTGCGTATGCTGATAGCCTTAAGATTGCGGGGTAAGTACTTATCTACTAACCCATTACATGATATTATTATAGGATATATTTCCACCTTTTCCAACTGATACATTCTCTTTATCTCATCCGCGAGTTCTTGGTATTTCAGGACTTTCTCCATTCTTGATTTTCCTACATTTTCGTCTGCTGGAATTTGTATATCTATTACTTGCGCCTTTCTTTGCTTCTTATCAAAAACTAAGATGTCTGGTCGATTGTGACTCACCGTCCTATCCGTTGTTATAATTAGGTCCCATAGGATCTTCCACGATTCGTTTTCTAGTACCGTCTGAGGCTGGTATTTGTAGTATGGGACTTTTGCAGTAAGGAGCCCCATTTGTACACAGAGTTCCTGATGTATTACGCCTGCAACTTGGTTGTGCCTGTTTAGGCACAACCAAGTTGCTTATTATTTTTATTATTATTATTATTATTATATCAAAATTCAATTTCTCATGTCAAAAAAAGCCTAGACACAAATTTTCTAGATGTTTTTTTTTTATTTTTGTGACTATAGTTGAAATTGTTTCGAAAAAAAAACAAATAAAAATGTGACTTCTACACCCTGTATCTCCGAAACTAAAAATCTTTACGGACATTTTTACTCGTTTTAATCTGCAGATTATGCTAAAGAAGTTTTCCGAATACAATTCGAACCACCCGGTATATCCCTTATAACCATTTAAAAATAATAACATTTTTAGCAGTACTTGTGTGTGTATTAGAAAGGTTTATTGTTAGAATAGCCCATAATCTAAAAAAAATAATTTGGTTTTTAACATACAGTAGCTGCTTTAATTAAATATCAGACTATACAGGGTTAATTACAATGTAGGGTAGACGCACCATTTGTGGCCATTGACCCTGTTGTAGCCACTTCTTTAAAAAATCTTAAAAATTAAGTTTTTTCACGTCATTGTGACAACCGTGCATCTATAATTTTCTAAATTGATATATCCAGCGCCATATGCAATAGAAAATATTCGAATTTAGTGTAAAAGTCGGCCGTTAGACCAAAAAGTAGTAGCACATATTTACTAGATTCTGTTTTCTTAACCCATTTCTTAAGGATAGCTAGGTAAGTAGAACTCAAATTATTAACAATAATCTGTATTGGGGTATTAAATTTATTATATTCAAATAAATAATATTTAAGATTTATTTCTGTGGCCACAAAAGGTGTAATTAAATTTTAATTATGTTCTACTTGTAGCCAGGTTATGGCCAAAAATGGAGCAATCCAAATCTATTTGTGGCCACATATTATTTAGCTTTATGTGCAAACAACGGACAACATAATATGAAGAACATTTTATTTGTTATTATTCAGCTTTTAATAAAAACTGAATAATAAATAGTACCTAATTATAATAATATCCCAAATACAATTATCGGATTACCAAGATTACCAATCTGAACATATACCGTCATCAAGTTTTCCTTCAGATGAGAAAACGATTATAGAAAATAATATAGATATAGAACTAAATGGAATAAATACGAACGAATGCGATAAAAATAAAAATTATGAGAATTCAAAGGAAGATGATTCAGGACCACTAGACCAAACCATGCAGGAAAAGGACTAGTAGACATAATTATGAACTTAAGGATGATGCCCGGGAAGATGTTAATCTTTAAAAAGAAAAAGGCTACATCTACCATCAGTTATTACGTATGATAAGTGGATTGAATTAATGAAGGGAAAGGAGAAAAAAACAAAACTGGCAATGAAAACTTTACAAAAAAGAAAATAATTAAAATAAAATTTAAAGAAAATAAAGATCTTTCTAGTAGAAATAAAAAAGAGAAACCAACGCCAGCTTAAACTTCTGTAACATCTGCTGAATTAAATATAGGAAATTTTATTATTTTAAAGTACGGGAATCAGTTGAATCTAGGAAAATATTACAAATTGAAAATAATGAATATTATGTTGAATATTATAACTGCACAATGGTTCAAATCTGCGGCAATTGGAAGTAAAAATGACTTGCTTTGGTACAAACTGAGTGTTATAACAATGAAAATTGATGAATCTAAAAAAGTCAATTCAAGAGAAATAAATGGTGGTTACCTGAACTAACAAATATTCAAGAATATTCTGATAAATTAGTGTACTTTTCTTATTGTTCCTCACAGTAGTATTAATATGTACCTAATTTTTATTTAACATTTGTATAACAGATAAAAAACAAAATAAGGTATTAGGTATCACTTGATTTGTTTTAAGAATAAACGTTCATGTTTTTTTATTGTTAAAAATATAAACAATTAAGTACCAAATGTTTCTTTTTATGTCTTTTTTTTTAAGAAAGTAATAAATAAAATATTATTATTTGCTTAGTTATCTGCGAAATTCAATATAGAGAATATTTTTGCAAGAATGTGGCCACAAATGGTAGCAAATGTGGCCACATTTGGCACAAGGTGGCCACAAATGGGAAAAATCGTATGTTTTCATAAAATAATTATTTTCTGTTTATTAAGAACACAAATCTTTACAATAAAAGCTGATTTTGAAAGAAAATTGTTTGGAGAAGCACCAAAAATTTTGTTTTATCTCCAAAATTAACTAAAAATATTTTTTCTGATAAGTCAAACTCTAAAAATCCCTTAACCTGGCCACAACAGGTGCTTCTACCCTAGATAGCTTTTATTGAAATTTGTTTTTATATGTTTACTCTTGACTTTTAGAAAATGTTAAATATGTCAAAAACCTGTTTACATTTTAGCCACAAGCTCTTCTTTATCTTATATTTCCCTATGGTATAAACTTACTGTGTGATTTCTTGCGTTGGTCCACAAAAACTGGTTCCAGGCCTAAAAACTCCTGCCGCAACATAACTTGTAGTATCCTCGTATACGTGCTCGGCTAAAATTTCGATTTTCGCATGTCTAAAACGTTTCTGTAGCTCCACCGCTGTGGTAACGCCAACTACGCCTGCGCCAAGTACCGCAATATTTAAATCGGTCATTCTCGTTTATTTTCTCGTAATTTACGCGGTATTTTTCTATACGGCTTACGACAATTTTGCTATTATTACAATAATTGTGGCGTAGTGTACACAAACGCTGCGATTAAATAATGTTCGTACGACCGCCTGCTTTCTCAAGTACCGAAGTTCAGACTGGTTTATTATTGAAACATTTAAATCACAGAGATAAATTTATTTTAAAAGCAGAACCGTAATTGAAAAATTATGATGTGGTCGGTTCAAATAAATAAATGCCTTTATTGTCAAAAATTTTTTCAATTTATAAACAAAGGTAAAGTAAACAAAGTAAACAAACAAACAAAGAGAATACAAAACAAGTATACAAATTATATTGTCAGTCTTCTTGTTTAAAACAAACATTTATAAATGTTTACAATGTCAAAGAATAAAAAAATAAAAATAAGATTCAAAAATATTTAGTAAGTTTATAGCTCGGTTTATAGTAAATATAATAATATATTTTATTCTGTAAACTTTCGTAATAGCAAACATTAGACCAGTTGCCACGCCCTTTTCTAATTTGAAGTTCAATAAAACACAAGTTTACTTAATCGGTAATGAGTTGCATAGAGGCCACTAGCTTTTAATTTTAACAGCCGGGTGGTCGGGGTTCAAAGATATTAATAAAAGGGCGCCACGATATACTCTATGAACTCGGCATAAAAGGTGTTACTATTAAGTAGACTTCAACACTAACCTCGAACTGTTGAGTGTAACTACCATGAACTTCAAATATGCTATAACTCGTTAAACTTAAGTGACTCTAACTTAACTATGAGACTAGACTGTAGATAATAGTAATAAAAATATTTAAGCAATTTATTAAAACATTAAAAAGTTATAAAGAAAAGAAATGAATGAAATGTAAATGATTGAAATATATTAAGTCAGAATTTAAATCAATAAAAACTAAATCTATGACGTCATCCCCCTTAACTTAAACTAAGTATGCTCTAAGGGCGGAATACAAATATCACTGTAAATCTAACTAATATCTAAACGACTTGAAAACTACTCGGAAGTTCCTCCGGCTGAGCTTCGGTGTATAGCAATGGGGTAGCTACAGCAGGCTACAGCAGCTCGATGTACTGTCACTGGAGCCCGTCAGCAAACGTACAGATACCAGGCAGGTGTAGGACTTCAACAGGTGATATAAAAAAACCCTCAACGAGGGTTTATGATGTCCAACGGGTACCTCTACACGGGCAACAGGATGGAATTCTGGACTGTTCTGTGCAGTACGATCTGGATCGGTCTTCTTGCTCTTGGAACTGTTCAGGAACTTCTTGGGCACCTGGAATCGGGATATCGGTCGGAAAAATTTGGCTATTTAATCCCTTACGGAAATTGGTCGGTGGTCCATGTAAACTCAACAAAATCCAACCACGTCTCTGACCAAATATGTTTCGGAAGCCTTAATCCTTCTCTACGAAGAACTGCTATTCACCAACAGGGAATGCTTCACGAAACGGCAGCCAGTTCTTCACGACGATATTCTAACGGTGGATACACAAGAAGTGATGCAAGGATTCGATTTCCTTCACAAAATCAGATTTCAACCGGAAATCTCCCTCCAGGATATAGATAGAGAACTATATATCTTGACTAGTCCAACTTACAAAAAGGCATAAATAAAAAATCATGTTTTCTCCTCAGCCATATTCCATATCCGGTCAATGAACGAATTAAACTCAGAAATTCCACAATTAAAAGAACGAATTGCACACTGCGATCCACATCAAAAATAACCAATTTAACTACGAAATTTTATCTGATAATTATAAAATTTCAATAACCAAAACAAAAGATAAATAAATCCAAAAACATCTGATTTGATCTGACAGTGACAAGTGACGGACAAAAGTGATGATCAAAGATATAGAGGTCCAGTGACAATATTGTGTAATAGCGCGGTGTATATCGGGTTGCATAATTGTAAAATTTAAGTAAAATGATATTTAACAATAAAATTATAGTAAACATGATGCAAAAATAATAGTTTTTTTGCGATTATTTATGAGCTAGTACACAGAGGTCGTAGCGAGGAAATTTGACTGTTACACAGTGTCATCAAATTCGATTATCAAAATATAAGTCATTTACGGCGTAGAAAGCCTTGTATAGCAAATAAGATTTCAATGCTTTGCGAAATGAAGAAAATGATGTTATGGATTTGATTTCAAATGGCAGGCGATTCTGCATTTATTTCGAGTTGTATAATATTGAACTTTTAACTAACTCTGAGCGTGGAGTAGGCAGATAAAGAACTTGCTCCGCGTTCCTGAATGGATAAGTGTGAGATGGCCTTTCTTGAGAAGCTGATACATACTTACGTATTACGGATTCAAATATAAATAAGGAAGGAAGAGTTAATATTTTTAACTTTTTAAAAAAGTCCTGGCAATGAGTTCTGCTGTTTAGTCCCAGTGAATATCGAACAGCTCTCTTCTGGAGCTGAAATTGAGTCGCACAACACGTACCCCAGAATGGAAGAGCATATCTGAGGTGCGACTCAAAAAGTGCATAATAAACAGTTCTAGCCACTGACAAATTAAGCTACTTAGAAGCAGATCTTAATGCAAAACAGGCAGAGCTTAATTTTTTCGACAAAGGGTCGATATGTATGTCCCATTTTAGAGAATCTACAACAAGCCCTAACAATTTTACAGATTTTACGACGTCAATGGTGGTGTTGTTAAGTACAAAAGGCTGCAGCGAGTTTTTATACGACAAAACTTTAGTTTCAGAAATGTTGAGACTCAGGAGGTTCGAATCGCACCAAGATTTAATGGTGATTAAGTCATTTGATATAATCCTATAAAGTGCCGTGACGTCCTTGTTGCTTCAAGTGAAGCTAGTGTCGTCCGCAAAAAGATATATTTTACCACTGATGTTTATGTTAGCAATGTCGTTAATAAAAAGAAGAAACAAAATAGGGCCTAGTACTGAGCCTTGAGGTACTCCACATTCTATTGACTTGCTAGAAGAGAATGTGGTATCCACCCTCACAAGTTGACTTCTGTTGCTCATATACGGCTTAAGCTATTCGAGAGATATTCCCCTGAACCCATAGTGTTGCAGTTTATTAATTAGGATCTTATGATTTACACAGTCGAACGCCTTTGAAAAATCACAGAAAATTTTTGCTGTATAATAATGGTTATTTAGGCTGAAGTAAACTTAATTAAGGAAGGAAAACAAGCATCATTTGTGGACTTGTCGCTTAGAAATCCAAATTGATGTTCAGTAGGTAAGTATTTTGTACTTAAACAGAAAAGATACAAGCCTTCTTTTAACCAGCTTTTCTATGATCTTAGATAGCGTTGGAAGGAGTGCGACTGGGCGATAGTTAGAAGCTTGATCTTTGTCTCCTCCTATATGCAGAGGAATGATTATTGCCGTCTTAAGAAATTTTGAAAAATTACCATTTTGGAATGACATGTTTATTAAAGTACTTAGTTAGGTGATTCAGAGTGCTTTCTGGCAGATTCGAAAACATTTTTAAAGTTAGCCCGTTGGTCCCAGATGAGGATTTATTTTTGATGTTATTAATTGTACTACGAAGCTCTTCTAAAACTACGGGAGAAAAAAAGAAACACTGTGTAAGTTTACACTATCATTAGAGAGATATGAAAGTGGATTACAAGCAAAACACACTGAGTCCAAAGAATAATAAATTTTAAATACATTTTTACTGAACAAATACCATATGATCGAAAGAAAAACGGTGTCAGAGACGGCTGGGAAATGACAATCGATAGTTATTTTAGCGAGATCAATCTTTAAATGTAATTTACTAAAAATTGACATAATACTTGTCAAAAATTAAAGCTAATTATAGAAAGATTAAAATAAGATTACAGAGTTTCCAGACACGAAATTTTAAAATAAAAATTCTTTCTCGAATTTTAAACTAACACCATTTAAGAATAATGTTTGTTCAATATAAAGAGCAAAGTGACTTTGTGGCTTTGCTGGTAATGTTATTAATATGCCTGTTCCAGAGAAGTTTACTGTTCAGGGTTATTTCCAGATATTTGATTTCCTGTGATGGCAATACTTCCGTTCCATCTATAGATCTACAGATAGAACTACAGGTGTTCAAACGTGTTGGAACACTGGTCCTCTCTACGAGGCCTCTTGCGGGCCCAGCCAGTTGCAAGCCCTAAAAATTCAGATTGGACAATTTATTTACTGTTTTTATTTAATGTTTTATTTACAAATTACAACCAAAGGATAGGGAATTGCTACAACCACAAATATGTTAATTTTCCCTGTTATTCTAACTGTTTAACATTACTAATTGGATTATAAAACTTTATTTTTGTTTCATGTCTTGTCCTGGTCAGGGTGGTACATTAACATATTTAGAAAAATCATTTTTTACGAATAATTTGGTACCACACACTTGGTATTTCAAGTCAAATTGTTGTGATGAACCGCATGTTAAAATTTCAAATAAACCATACGAGAAAATGTCAAAATTTGACATATGATATGTCATTCTATTCAGAGCCTCCTTTTCTACCAAATAAAATAAAAAAAACAGAAAGTGTCATTTAAAAATCCTTTGAATAAGAAGACTAAGGAAGGAGCATATCAAAAATCTTAGGTCCACCGCGATGGGCCTCAAATATGGCCGTCTTAAATTCCGGTTTATCAGTGCCGTTCTAATTTTATTTAAAAAATGTAAAACTATGATGTAGGGTAGACGTGGGATAGACTCAATAATATGTTGTTTTATTTGACGTTGTGAATAAATGTTGGTAGTTATTAAAATTGTTACAAAAATATATAATTCTAATAAAAATAGATAAGTTGTAATAATTATTTATTAACACAAACATCCGATACGCTACTGAAGCAGATTTTGATATCTAATCTTTGACAAGTAGTAAATAAAAGCAAAAATGCAAGAAAAAATATATAATTAGTTAATTTAAGTGAATTTCATAAATGATCGGTTTACTACACGTATGTATATTATATAGTCACTTACTAGCTAGAAAAGTTGTTCCATTATTTCACTCGATTTTTGCCGAGATCTACCGCACGCTACACAACCAACTATTTTAGAGTCTTTTTCGATAAATCGCGATAGTGTCACTGTTAATTTAAGTTCTGCCACAATTTC